TAGATTATTCATACAATTTACTACAGGCGGGTGCACACACAAAGGAAAGTATTATAATAATAATAGCAAAAGTATTATTATTGTTGACCCACAATGGCTATTATGTATAAAATTTATATATATATATGTCTACATGCAAGCCTCTGTAGTATCAGAAGATTCCACTTAGGTTTGCAGTTCTCACAGCATATGGAACACGAATCTTACGGACGGCACGTTTGAATCAATTTAACTGCAGGCAATTGATCATGTCAATTTAGCAGAGGTTGTTCACACATACGTAAATATATATATATAAATATTTATATATATAATTTTTTTATAAATAAATAATTAAATAAAAAATATTTAATTGCTAAAATTAGTAACAAGTATATCATAAATATATATAGATTTGTATTTAACGATCAAAACTTGGAAATTGTTGATTTTTTGATTAATTCGTTTACTCATTGCACGCAGATATATATTTATTACTCAATAAAAGCCACATCTTTTTACTCGTTTTATGCAATCTTTATCTGCATAAAACACAAATTGACACCTTTATTTGTAATTTTATTGATGTATCCATATCGATAACGTTTGATTCGTGCTGCCATATATAAATCCCTGGCGCGAACTCGCGCTCTTTTTTGCGCTCTCTCTGCTTACTCAAGCGAAGCTTTTACTTACTTTTTAGCAGCTGGTAACGCTGCATTCGCGTATAAAAACAGTCGGCCTGAGCGAGCTTTTAGCAGTGGTGGTCTGATTTCGTGTATCTCAACGAAGTGAACGCATTTGCAAAGAAAACATATTATAATGGCATCTTTCATTGGCAAGAAGTACAAGCTGGACAAGTCCGAGAACTTCGATGAATACATGAAGGAGTTGGGTGAGTAGCTAGGATTTTATTTACTGTTAACATAGTACGAATTACGTGTGCGTGTGATGGCACGTGGAGTGCGCCATTATGCGGCCGACCGAGTGAGAAAGCGAGAGAGTGTGAAAAAGAAGCCGAAAACGCAGAGCAAAAAAAAAAAAAAAAAAAAAAAACCGCTAGCCGGCTTTTTTTTCTGCAGATGTGCAAGAGAAAGATGATGAAGTGTCAGGGCCAATAGAAACGAAAAACGTGGTTTCAAGTTTTTTGGAGTTGCTAGAGAGAACTTTATGAATCAGGTGCAAAAGTCATTAAAAGGCAACCTTATCGGGGACTAGCTAATGGGGCAATAAACTAAAAAACTACTTAAAATGAAGTCTGCACTTTAATCAAAGAAAGTTTTTAATTCCCATGCAAACAGCTTTTATGGTTAATTACTATATTTTACAGCACTTTGAAGTGCTATACGGCAATTTTCAATTTACAATGCTCTACTATTAGGAGACAAGAAGAGTAAATAGTTTTCTGCAAATTTAAGTTCTACAATTTAAGACTTTTAAGTCTTTTCATGTACAAATCTATAAATTCATTTTTTGGCAAAGCCGGCTTAACTTCAAGATATAACATAAAAGACTAACAAGAGCATTCTTTTACAGATTTGAAATTTATACACTTCCACAGCAGTTAAGATAAATACGGTTAAAAAGTATTTTGTTCTTTTAGTTTATTTTGTTTAGTGTATGTATTAATGACCCGTCCCAAGGTTAGTTTTGAAACCCATAGTCTGCCTAGTCATCCATTAAATTATTTAAACAATAGTCGAACTTTGTTCTGTTTAGTCTAGTCCGGGGTTCGAGTTGTTGGAGGATTTGGAAATTTAATTCGTTACGGAATATGTATGTGTTTCTGTAATTTTGTTATTACTTGCGGTCTTTTTCGCGGTTTGGAGTGTAAAATCAAATCACAAACAAGATATCATTTTCCAACATCAAACGTCGACACTTAAGAGGTTTGGATTACCAGATTTTTAACGAAAATAACTATCAACGTAAAATAAGTGGCTGTTGAGACACGTCAAATAATACTTTAGTTTTTATCTGATTGAACGATGCACCCTGAACGTATATAGCATAATCGATAAACCTTTTACCAACATAGTATATAACGTTCATATAATAATGATAATATAGTTTTGAGATTACAATTTCTGTGCTTTTGTTGTTGCACCTTGCACCTTATCAATAACCGGGTGGGCTCTATAGCAACAAAAAGTCATTAGCCATTTATTTTATTTATATTTTTATTTTTGCGAACTTTTTTCTAATCTACTCCAGCTCAAGCAAATGATAGACAACAAGGGGGCCATTTATTATTGGGGCACAGCTCAAAAAGTTTCCCTGGGAACCTGTCGAACCATAAAACACTCAAGAGCAAAAGGTTGTCCACTTAAAAGAGTACATAATTGAACATAATTGATTTGTCTCTGCAAATTGATGGTCAACAGGGGGCACAGCTCTCTATAGAGGAACTACAATTTATATATATATGTATATCAATATCATGTGTGTATATGTATATACTATATACGTGCATTGCGATAAGGTCCGCTTGCATCTCGGTTCGCTCGTATTTATTTAGGCTGACCAATTGATAAGTACCGGAGGCTGTGCGTCTGACCCCCCAGCACGGTCGACATCGTTAACCTTGAGTATGACTCTCGATCTGCTGTTGGTTGAGCTATGTCTGGGTTACTTGCTGGCAACTTCACAATTCAGCTTGATTATTTCAATTAAATACAATATGATTTGCATTGTGTGTGGGTCTTCAACTTTGACTGAATAATTCAATTAGTAACTCTCCAAATCTTCGTATATAAGACGATATATGTATGTACATATATAAAGTTTTCTTTTTGCCCTACTGCACTCTACATTGTACTTTGTCAGAGCTTGGCCTAGTTTCAATATGGTTTTTTTTTTAATACTAGAGCTTATCGAGCTATTTATAAATTTATTGAATTTAAGTTGCGTTTATTGATTGAATATATAAATAATACAAATATATTGATTTAAATTTTTAATATTTTTCAGGCGTTGGCATGGTTTTGCGCAAAATGGGCAACACCGTCAGCCCCACTGTGGAGGTGACCGTGGACGGCGACACCTACACACTGACCACCACGTCGACATTCAAAACCTCCGCCATTAGCTTCAAGCTGGGCGAGGAGTTCGATGAGGAGACTTTGGATGGCCGCAAAGTCAAGAGCGTGATCACTCTGGATGGCAACAAACTGACGCAGGAGCAGAAGGGCGACAAGCCCTCGACCATCGTGCGCGAGTTCAACGACAACGAACTGATTACCGTAAGTCCAGCCCGAGTCCAATGTTCAGCTGCCGTATCTAACTATATGTATATCTTATCTCCCATAGACACTCACCATTGGCAACATCAAGAGCGTGCGCATCTACAAGGCAGTCTAAGCATCCATTTCGACTGCAAACTTGACTGAACTATCAACTGTCTAAACTATATTTGCATTATGAACTGATTCCCAGTTTAGTAATATATATATATTGTTATTGATTAACAACGCAACAAATTATGAAAATATGAACTGCACTTTAATTCTAATGCTTATTTATAAACATACGCATATATTCAATATATATGAGTGTAGATGACATGTGAAATTTTCAAAATGCATTTGAATAAACAATTATTTCGCTTTAACTTGAACATTTAGCGTTATGTTTATATGAAGGCCGAAAAAATGTTTATTTTAAATTTAGCATACGGAAATCGTAATATAATCATTAAACATAATGAAATGGGAGTGAAACCAGAATATCGTTTACTATTTTCAAATAAGAAACCAATAAGTACTTTATACATTCCATTACCAAAGACCAAAGAATGAGCAACAGATTCTAATAGAACCCAATCTAGATTTGTCATAAAAACTTAATTGGAAACAATTAACTAATCTAGTTTTGGGTTTGAGGAATAAAAATTTTAATAAGGAAAAGCGCTTAAAAATAGAAATACGTGCCCGAAATGAAAATCCGTGCATATACAGATGCAAATTTGTTGCAGTTCAGATCGTCTCATATTCTCTATTTGGGGGTCTTAATAGTGTTTGTGGGCGGCTCGGCTTGATATTATATCAAGTTGATGTGGGAATAACGGCAATTTGATTATATGAGCTGCAGTGCAAGTACGTATTTGTATGTATGTATGTATATGTCGGCTTGCTGACATATGCAACAACATTCTGACCCATAGTACATCATAACGCTCCCTCCCACGCATTTCCTTTCTGGAGCTGTCGTCACTTTAACGAAGCAGACAAATGTACCTACCTACTTACATATGTATGTATGTATATACCTCCGTGTATATATGAGTAGTTATAGTTGTATGGGTGAGTCATGCGCAGTTGAGAGACGGACAAATCGTGATTGGTTTGCGGCTTGGTTGGCAGTCACAGTTCCAGTTTGCCGGCTCCAGCATATATTCGAGTATTTATCCACATGGGCGGCTGATTAAACAAGAAGTAAGTTGCTAAACGAAAAAAAGTGATAAAAACCGTATATAGTGTGCTATAAATTGATAACAATTATATCGATTTACTGGCTGGGGGCATAAACTGGTGCATGACTTAAGCTAATCAGCGACACGCACACCGTCTGAGAGTGTACGAGTGTATGTGTGAGCGCATTGTGTAATAGCTCCACAGCAGAATCGTGATATGATTGTTGCCTATTTTGCGGCTGTTCACAAACAAAAAGCACGTTTCTCAGTTTAACTAGCGCAAGGGCGAGCTTTTCCAGTTGAAAAAGCTGCGGCAAGTTTTGGCGAGCCAAACGGGTTTTGCTGATTAAGAGACATAGATCGTGTTTTACTTTATTTCTTTCTGCTGCGTCGTCAAAACAGCAACGCAATCCAGTATCACGCCATTGCCGTTACTTTTGCTCTTCGTCGACGCGTCGACAGCTCGCTCTCGCTTCCATGCGCTCAGCCGCGCGATCTGCGGCGAGCAGCAGTTGGTTAGTTTCTGCTTGTTTACAAATGTGCTGCTTATTTGAATTTTTTTGTAGCTTTCTCTGCGATTGGAAAATGAAATTTTTTTTTCAGTTGAGTCGCTGCCCTAGCCACGAACGCGTCGCAGTCGCATTCCAATCAGCTCGATAGAAAAAAAAAAAAAAACAGCCAAAGAGCTCCAGTGCCAAAGTGAACCAGTTATTGCATTTCTTCCAATTGTAAATGAGTGAGTTGAGCTTAGAACTATTGTGTGCTAAATTGCACACATTTCCAATCAGAAAAAGACAGATCAAATACCGGCAACAGTTCTCCAATTGAAAGCTTACTGGAATTGTTATTTTTCGCTTAGGTGTGTCCGTGTGTGTGTGTGTGTGTGTGTGGGAGAGCCAATTTCCAATAAAAAGTTATCATACAACTTTGTTTATCTTTATCATTTATGTTTGAGTTTGCTCATTTGATATCAATTGTAAATCAGATTCCAAAATTAACCTGCATAATTATCGCACGAAATACCAAAATTTATTATGGCATTGCAGAAATTATATAACAATAAAAAAAGTCGAGTGTAAAGAGCAAAACAGAAAGAGAATTACTATAGAGTACTTCATGAGTTTTTTTGTTTCGTTTCGTTTCAAAGTACTATCATACGATCTTAAGTAATCGCAATCAGTTGCAGATGTTTCCATGGCAATCGACAATTCTCTCTATTGGAATTATACAACATAGATTTTGTTTTGTTTTTGAACTTTGCTTTCAAGGTGAAAATCGACGCGATAAAATCACGAATTGTCACGAAACAAGCAAACGTTATAGATTAGCCATAGACATAACCTAGACATACTACCTAAAGAGTTGCAATATTGCTTTTTATACGATGATCTCGATTTCTGAACGGGGTATATGAGGCGAGTCATATTTTGAGCGATTTTCCCATATAATGTTGTCTAAAATTATTAGTGCTATAATTGAATAATATAATAATATAATATAATAATATTCTTATAAGAATCATTGTGTGACAGTTACAAAGTTACAGTTTGAGAATGTACCTTCAGTAGTTTAAGTACAAAATATATTTATTTTTGAGTTGTTTTTTTCTTGTATATTGCTTGATATAATTATGTATATTCCGATGCAGCTATCTCTGAGATATTTTGTTTTTGTTATATTCTATTTTAGGATCGATTTTTTCCATCCACCCTCGCACACCTTAACGCAGAGCTTGTTTGCTTTGACAACAAACTCCCATTCAAATTGGGATCTTCTAAATTTAGTAGATTTTCGATATTTTATACTATGCACTCCCCACTAAATTGTTGTATGTCTTTTTTTTGTTTGTTGTTGTTGTATTATTAATTTATAGTTAGAGATGGATCGGTCCCGCGTGCCCTTGTTGTTAAGTCCCTATCAAAACCGGCCCTGGATGGTCAATGATGGAGCTGCTGCGGCGGCAGCAGGTGGCTCTAAGGGCCTGAAGGGCATTGTTGCCGGTGGTATTACCGGCGGCATTGAGATCTGCATTACATATCCCACCGAGTACGTGAAGACGCAGCTGCAGTTGGATGAGAAGGGGGCCAATAAGCGATACAACGGTATTGCTGACTGTGTGAAGAAGACGGTGAGTGAACGCGGCTTCTTCGGACTATATCGTGGCCTCAGCGTTCTAGTCTATGGTAGCATACCCAAGTCGGCGGCCAGGTGAGCTTGATGGACTACATAAACTATTCGATCACCTATCTAATTGTTCTCCCTGACAGATTTGGGGCCTTCGAATACCTGCGCTCTAAAGCTGTCAATTCTCAGGGCCAACTGAGCAATTCTGGCAAATTGCTCTGTGGTCTGGGCGCTGGTGTCTGTGAGGCTATCGTTGCGGTCACCCCCATGGAAACCATCAAGGTGAAGTTCATCAATGATCAGCGCAGTGCGAATCCGAGATTCAAAGGCTTCGCCCATGGCGTCGGCGAGATAATCAAAGCGGAGGGCATCAGCGGCATTTATAAGGGTCTTTCAGCAACGATCTTGAAGCAGGGCTCCAACCAGGCCATTCGCTTCTTCGTCATGGAGTCCCTGAAGGACTTATACAAGGTAATTATAATTGAAATAATTTATAGGCATTACCTAAACTTAACTATGTCGTATCCCATAAAAATTAGCAAATTTAAACTTAAATTTACATTCTTCTTCTTTCAGGGCGATGATCCAAATAAATCAGTGCCCAAATTGTTAGTGGGCGCGTTTGGTGCCGTTGCTGGTGCTGCCTCCGTATTTGGTAATACGCCCTTGGATGTGGTCAAGACCCGTATGCAGGGCCTCGAAGCTTCCAAGTATAAAAATACGGCGGATTGTGCATTGCAAATATTCCGAAACGAAGGTCCAGCGGCATTTTACAAGGGCACAGTGCCCCGTTTGGGACGTGTGTGTCTGGATGTAGGCATCACCTTTATGATCTACGATTCATTTATGGAGGTTTTCAACAAAGTTTGGAAGGACTAAATTTAAAGTTAATATGTAGTTATTGGCGTGCATCTTACGTCATCATCGTTCGGACCTATTCAACGAATGTGAAAAATTGTAATGTAGAGTCATGTGTAAATTGCGTGTAAGAGTTTCTGACCAGAGCATTTGACAACGAATTGTAAATAGGAAATAAAATTCAATGTTGTAGTAATTGTTTTTTGATTCTTGCTTCGAGGAATTATGCCAATTTAATTCAATCTCTATTTCCCAGGAACTAAACAATGAAGTCTAGTGACGCTCGGAACTAGCAAATGATAAATGCTAGACGGGAAAGCTGAAGATTAGATAATCCCAACAGTCAAGCCCACATAAATTCCACTGGTAAGCATTTAAGATCATCATAAACTTTCTGGTTATGGTGATCTACGTGCAATAAAGATAATCATTGTAATGCGAGAGAGAATTATCTCATCATGGTTATGAAAGATCATTACACTATTACAATATTGAATTCATCTTGCCCAGGCTAATGATCATGATCTTTCCTAAGAAAAATATCATTCAATTAGATGCCAATCATAATTATACATAGTATATCAACTATTATTTAAAATATTAATAGCTTACCTAATTACATATGTATATATTACATATCTACTATTATGAATATTAATTGCTTAAAGTAATAGCACCGAATTGCACCACCTCCGAACAGCAGTAATTTTGGATAGCGACTGTGCGACACCAGACTCAGGCTCGCCTTTATATAGGCAGCAGTCCCACTCAGACCCGTGTAACTCTCTTGAGCCTGCTTCAGAGCTAATTTTAATATTCGCTCAAATGCAGAGATTTGCTCACTTGATTTTATGAAAGCAGCGCTTTTATAGTAGAGATTGCTAGAATTGTTTCAGAATTAATCAGTAACTCAAGTCAAGTTCTCAGTTCGCACTACATACATACATATATGTATATGTATACATAGGAAGTAGATGATAAAAACAAAATAGTTTCTGTAAAATGCCTCACATGCATTTAATAAGAAATAAAATAAAAACAAAAATTTCCAAAATTTCTGGATTGTCATAAAAGTTTACATGCAACAATTTTATAATCAAGTGGCAATTGGTATATTTAAATACTAAGGCATATAATATAAGCTTGCACCATTTAAAGGAGAGTTACGGCTAGTAATTAGTTGATAGTAAGCTAACGTATCACGTTGAGTGGTATGGAGGCATTCTTGCTGCTGAGTATGCGGGCCAGCGTCTCGTCCAGCGGCGAGCTAAGCTCTTGCCAAATGCATTTGCCAATCAGCGAAATTTCCTCGAGCGGCGGCCTGAAGGCCACCAAGAGATTCAGGCAAAGGCCATCGCTGCCTTCCTCGCTGTTGGTGCCATGCTCCACGCTGAGCAGACCATGCGGACGATGCTGTGGCAGCTCAGCGCCAAATATTTCGATCATAAACTTGCGCAACGTCGAGTGCAGGCTGCGATTCGGATGCATCTCCACAGTCGGAAAATGATGAGCATTCTTCTCACTGATGAGTATGTTCATCGAGTTGCTGGCACGCTTGCGCGCCACGGCCAGCACTCGTAAGTAGTTGCGTTTGTGCGGATAACGCGTGGGCAGCACATTCGCATGCCAAAGCGGCTGCTTGGCCACACCCTCTGCTGACTTCGCCAACTTCTGGTGCTGATGATAGGCGCGTCCGATTTCAATTATGTTGAGTATATCGTTGGCCCGCAACGGCACCTCCTTGACACTGCGCAACCACAGCGCTTGTATGGACTCTGCATCCGCATCGGCTGGTGTTTTTAGACGGCCACCCGTAATGCGACCCGTCAGCACAAAGCGAAACCAGGAGCCACCCGCCGATTCCACGGCCAGCAATGTAGTCATCTCGGCATTGAGGCCAGTCTCCTCGAACAGTTCACGCGCAGCTGCTTCCGTAATGGATTCGCCCTTTTCCATGCGACCGGCGGGCAAATACCATTTACCTGCGTCAACAAAAACATGCTACAAACAATGTCGATTTGCCAATTGCCAACTCACCTGCGCAACTGGGCTTGGCCTCCTCGATCATGAGCAGCTCGTCGTGCTCATTGAACATGACACAGGCCACTATATAGTTAATCGTCTGCCCGACTTTCGGCACAAAGTCACCCGTTGCCGATGGCTGCACGCCCTGCGCTTCGGCCGTGGCATTTTGTTCTTTTAGTGAGAAGTCACATAATTCTGGTGTTATATCGCCCAGATCTTTGGCATTCAATATGCTGCGCACTTTCTCCTCAATTGAAGACATCTTGCTTGCTAATATATGTATATCTTCTATATATGGTTAGATGTGACCTATTGTGAAAGTGTGCTTGAAATGAATTTTTTGTTTGGTGACAAATTGAGTCGAACTTACGTTTAGCACAAAATTCCGTGGCGAAATGACTCAATTGAACGAAACATGCTTGGCTTAACTTATGCATATAGCAAAAAATATTATGCAAATTACAAATTCTTCAAGCGCGGCTCTCCAGTTGTCTGAAACGTACTCAAGAGCGGGCAAGATGTGACTGGACAATGAAGACGGCAATCAGCGAGCTTGCTTTTTTTTTATATATATTTTATTTTGTTCTTGTTATGGCTGGCACACAGGTGCTTAGTAGTCTGCTAACGACGCAAACGCAAACTCAAACGCGACAACGAGCAACACGTATTTTGGCCTGTATTTTTCTATTGATATCGAAATAGATGTCAACAACAACAACAATAAGCCGCAAGACAGGTTTTACTCTATGGAGAGAAAGTGCATTGGAATGTCTGTGTTGCTTGTGCTGCGGCTGTAGCTTGAGCTAATTCTTCGGCTGTCGGTCTTGCACATCAGTTAGAACAAGTAGCTGCAACTCAGCCGCCGATGGCAGCTAATTATTTGCACAAAACACAATTGTATTGGTTTTAATAACAAAATCGTGGTATTCGCGTTCAATCGTTATTTGTTTACAAATGCTGGCGAGTGTGACCGTGATACGATCAACTAAAAAATACCTCGAAAAAATACCACCTTTTAGTATTAAATGAGAACAGCTGAGTTAAGGCGCTCAGCTGCAGGGTGCTTCAAGTTAATTGAATCGTTTATATTTGTAATATTTACAAATATTTTTAAATTGGCGCGTGTTCCTTAAATGCTGCACCCATATGCCTTACAAACAAACACACTCTCACCCGACCACAAATTCTACAGTAATAACAATCATTCAATTTCTATTGAAAATTAGCTAGATAAACAGCAAAAGGGCGGCACAGTTGATAGATTAATGCATTTAAGTAGATAAATGTATGTAACGAACTGTCTTTATTAGCATTACGTACTTATTGTGTAGGCGAACGTCCCGGAAAGTGCGCTACTGATTGCTGGCAATAAAATTTGAATGCGGAAATTTCATTGTTTACCCAAATCGATCATCATTAAAAGCGTTTGCGTTTCGCAAGTGCGAATTGCTCGATTCCATGGCGTATACTTAACATAGGCGTTGCGTTGAGCGCCGCTGTGTTGTGGGTGGCGTACCACAAAAAGCACAGGGCGGCCCATTCTAGGTAATTCAATTTCTGTTGTATTTTATTTTTGGTATAAATGCTCGATACTATATTAGCAGTTGCCAATCTGTATGTGTGACTGTATGTACGGATATGTATATGTATGTATGGATGAATGTTTGTGACGTTACTTCAGTCGGAGTGTTTGGGTGTGTGCATGTTTATTTATGTATGTGTATGCGAGGTATAAGACTTTGTCATTACATTGTTAATTTGTTTTAGTTGTTTTTTAATTTCCTTAGAGACTCGCAAAACTCATAGAAGCGAGTGTGGGTGTGTGTGTGTGTATATGTACATGTGTGGTAATGTACTCAGCATGGGTGGTAATAAGAGCTAAAGTAAAATGCTGATAAAGTGGTGAATGCTGTGTGTGGCTGTGTGCGCTTGGAATGCGTTGCGAATGTTCGGCGCGTTGTGATGACAAGCAGAAGCGAACACAAAACGTTCATTTCCCACAAGCGCCATTATTCGTTAAAACCCGTAAATTTTGCTCGAAACAAACACACACACATACACACAGAGAGACGCATGCACACACACACACACACACACACACACGCACACTAACACATGCATGGTCACACATCTGGCAATAATAACAACAAAAGCAAGAACAACATGAAGCTGGCAAGAAGCTGCCAGCTAAACACGAATATAATGTTTAAAATGTTTATTATGTGTGTGCAACTGACGCGCGCGCTGCCAATGAGACCAGAGCGGGCCAAGGCAGACAAACGCAGGCATATGTTTGCCCATATAACTGTATTACACATGCCAGCGCACATATCTGTATGTATACTTTCGAGTGCGTGTGTGTGAGTGTGCGCTTGAATGTGTTGATTTTGGTTTTTGCCGGCAGCGACATTGACGCCGGATGTGAAACAAGTAGCCCAAATAAACCGCAATAAGCTTTTGTCACGATTAACAAGGCTTACGCAAAAATGCGTGCCAGAATAAGACGGCACAAGAGCGAGCGAGACCGAGTGCGTGTGTGGCTGAGCATAATTACATGCACATCGTTAGTCGAATATGTGGTTGTGTGTGTGCGTGTGTGTGTGTGCGTGTGCCTTTGCCATATTTTAGATTAATGATGGCGTCGACTCGTATTAGGCAAATGAAGAAATCGACTACGACAGGCTTCTGGTTGCTGGGTGTCTATATTTGCTTCTATGTATGTCTAAATGTGTCTGAGCGTGATCTGTGCATATGTGCGTGTGTGCGTTACTTTTGGTCTGCGGTTTCTCGCAGTATATCCGCTAACAAATTTGCCACAACAATAAGTGCATATCATTATGCTGATTTAAGTGGCAGCACGGCACGTAGCAACCGCCACACACACACATACACTCACACACAGACATATCTATAGCAAGTTATTACGAGCACACCTGACCCACACACACACACACACACATACACACACACGCGCAATCGCACACACTTACCGTATATATTACAGTGGGCTAGCTATGAGTATGCATGCAAGTGGGTACATAAATCTTTGTTTAAAGACACATGCACAATGTAAGTTAAATTGGCAATAACGTGCTTTTCTTTTATACGCCAGCTACAGATACAAACCCAGCCACACACTCACACACACATGCATACGTAAGGGCATAACGG